GTTGCTAGGTCACGACATACATTCGTTAACTCAACCTTTGTGCTCATCCTATATACTGTGACCATTGACCCCAGATTGTGAAAAGACTTCTGTAGTCAAATTCTGAAACATTATTACTTTCGGTAGTTTTTTACTCCTCTCTACTTCCCTGAGTTTGTCTTCTAATTTCTTTTCCTTCATTCAAAAAATGGTATATTATACGCCGAATGAACAAGCTGTTAGTCTACTGTACATTTACAGTATAGGGCTTTTAATAAAGTACAAAATATAAAAGATATTGGAGCAACTTGAACGGCCTATAAATATTTGGTATCAAATATATTCATATATATAAACGTACCTTCTACAGCACTAACAACTTTCTTTTTATTTTAACCTTTTTGTGCGAACAGCTTAATTTGCCTTGTATTTATTTATGGTTACCCTCAAAAGCTCAAGTACAACCGGATTTGTAACTCACCATATCAGCGTACCGCAATATTTGTCTTCTTCTGTTCGTTGACTTACATTTTGGATATATATATGTATATGTATATGTATATGTATATGTATATGTATATGTATATGTATATGTATATGTATATAATTTAACATATTCGTTTCTCACCTCTTTACCTCTTTATTTCCCCATATAATTATCATTATGGGATTTTCAGAACTACGATTTGAAATCCTTGCGAAAATTGCTGATAATCTGTCGAGGCGGGCTAATCTTTCTTGTGCCCTTACGTGTAAAGGATGGAGATATGCGTTTAAAAAGGCTCTATGCAGAGATAAGCGTTTTGTATCTTACGACGACGCCCTAACGCTTACCAACATTATAAAAGATTTCGAAAATGTACCCACATTACACGGCATTTGGGTTCCCAATCTGCACATACCCCATTATTTCTCTGTGACAGAATTATTAGATATAGAATTTTCCGATTTATTAAGATACCTGCCAAACTTGAAGTGCCTGGATGTACCTATTATATTCCGTAAATATATTCACACAGAGCCACCAATATCAGACAACGCACGATAGTATCCAAGACGTTTGAGAATTCATCACAAAGAAACTAGTGAGCTACAACCAGCGAAAATCCCACTCGGCACTGAGAAAAAAATATCAGACAACGTATGGAAGTCTCTAGAAAGTTTAAGAATTCATTGCAAAGGAACTAGTGAGCTACAGCTAGCAAAAGATCTAGTCGAATTTGTAAATGCGTATAGCATGCTCCAGAGATTAGACATTTTTGATGACGCCGGCTCTCGTGGAACGGTGCGTACTGTTAGCTACTTTGAAAGCATTCACCAACATTTGAAAAGACAATCGTCTATCAAGCTTGTAATATATCTCAGTTCTGACTTTTCGACAACACTGGACCCAATTCCAAATACGACACAGGCTTTTGCCGTGACATCTCTATATATTAATACGAGTCGGTACGAAGATAAAAGAAATAGCTGGAATCCTTTGTGTCCGCACTATCTTGGTTTCAAATATCCAAAATTGTGTTCCCTAAAACTAAAAGTCAAGAGGTTATTGGTTAACTCGAATAACTCGGACGAGAGGCAGACAATTATATCTCTTTTTTAATCCAACCCAAAAGCATTCTGTCAGTTGAAAACACTCGATTTCAAGACCGACAAATACCTCGAGAACTTTGACTTTGTCTTGTAGGAATTGTTTTGCGCATTAAAAGTTCCTCTCAAGAATTTGACATTAGAAGCAACACAAACGGGTGAGGTAGACAATTCATACCTATTGGATATTAACAGAATTTTACAATCCTTTTCCGAGACACCCAAGAGCCTTTCAGTTATAGGGTTTACATATAACTAGAGTAAACAATATTCGACTTTCGAACTATTCTATTACTATCCACTCCTAAAGATCCTTTGCATTAGTGGCAGCAATGTATCTCTTGATATAGCTGATTTATTGGACAAGTGTGTAGCTCTCAAACAGCTGAAATTTTGCGGTGGAAAATTGCTAATTAATTCAGACATGATAATTGATGGACCAAAACAGCAGTATGGATTATTGACTCTGACGTTACATGAATGCTCTGTAGCCACTAAAGTATTTTCTCACCTCTCTTTCAGGTGTAAAAATTCGAAGCATATGGATTTGAGAGCTTTGTGGATCGAAGAATCTGTTTGTGAAAAAACCGGATGTTTGTTAATCGACATGTCACATACTTTCTTAAAGACTTTGAAAATTGGTCAGGTTCAATTCCACGGATCAGACCGAGTACATAGTTATGACGATTGGGCCAGTCTGGTACTCGTATCTGAATTACATGACAGTCCGCTGTCAAATGAAAGGGACACAATAAAAAGAACAGAAATAGATTCAAACTACCCGAGAACAGAATGTAACAATATCACATGGCTCTACACATATAATGATATGGAATATACTGGGGAAGAGACCCTAAGCACTACAGAAATTTCAAAGGATGAAGCCAATATTGCAATCGAATACTATCAAAACTTTCAGTCCAACCAAATCAATGCGATTTCAATTGATGACAGCTCGTATAATGGAGACGACCCAACTGTCGCCTGGAAGTATGAACTTTACAAAGGTTACGCCGAGTTGAGATTTGGCAAAATTCAATGCCGTCCTTGTATATGTGAATCAGATTTTGTCGAGCGTTAGGAGAGAGGTTGTATAATAGGCTCTTTTGAAAAATGAAATGAAATAGAAAATAAAGTAAAAACCAAATTTATATAAATTATATATTGTATTGTTTTCATTCCTTTGTTATTCTATAAATTGACATGCGTAGACATAAGATATACACCTACAGACGAAGTACTTTCTCGTTGTTCTTTTATATTCTCATAAGAAAACTTAAAGTATATTTATATACAAAAAAACAAGGTAGCCAAGTTCATAATTTATAATGGCCATTTATTATTTTGATTGTTTTAGTATATTCAATATCACTTTATTGGTCAATATTCACTCCATAATATATAAGACTTTCAAGTATCGTAGGCCTCCCTTCAATTAGTTACCCTACTCTTTGCCTCTCTCAATCCTTTGGTGGCCTTGAGATTCTGAGTCCACGCAAAATCCAAGCCTTTCTACAGTTTTGCTGGCTCATTCCATCCCTCCGGCAAATACGTCTACGCTTTCACTCTCCATTCTATGGATCCGTTCCTACCTTGTGTCCTTGGTCTGTTCTCCCTCCTGTCTACCATATGATCCACTCTATATCTTCTTTTCCCCACTTTTCCAGTCATCCCTGTGTCTTCTTCGCCGCCGCTCTTTCGCTTTGTTCTTCAATACTTTCGATTATATATCCCAATCTCGGCATGCCAGTGAATTGTCGGTGGCATCCTGTCTGGCGCTTCTTCTCAATTACATATGGTACCCAGTCTCATCTTCTTATGTCATTCCTCAAGGTTTTGGTACCATGAAAATATATCAAATATATGTTCTTATAGCTCTCTTTTCCCTTCTCTTGTTTATCTAGTAATTCCTCCCTTGTCTAAAGGACACTGCATTTCCCGGTGATCCGTTTAAGGTACCGACTGTTCTGTTATATACTTACATCTTATCTCCATGCATCTCCTACTTTTTGATACCAAATTTGGCGCATCTCTCCTCTTCTTCTACAGGCCTCTCTCTTTGCTTCGTCTTTCATCCAATTTTTTTCTTCGCAATCTTTCCATATTCACCGCGTAAACACCATTCCTAAGCGTCGTCCTAGATCTCACACACCTATCCTTGTACAGTGGAAACTAGTCTGGTCTTTCCCTCTCTCTCACATCTCTTGCGGAAGCTTGCTGAACCGTATTATGCCCACCATCGTTGTAATCCCAGAATGACACCTATCCCTGCACCTCCTCTAGACCCCCAAACACCCAAACACCTTATGATACCTACTCTAACGTATGACCAATTTGGAAGACAGTCCTCTCCCAGTGGTTTCCTCTTTTCTTTTTTTTCCTCAAGCAGTAGTCTCCTCTATTTTAAACGTGCAATTTCCGAATATATGACCCCTCCTTCCCAGCTCCCAAGCCCTCGGGACCGTTTTACAGGCAGTTTGGCGTGCATACCGGGCTTTTTTTTTTTTTGACAATATGCCTTTTTCTGCCTTTAACCTTACCTCTGCTGCATATAATCTACCATATACCTGTCTCGACCAGGCGCACTTTGATTGATTTTATAGTATTCTTCATTCTCTTCCTCTTCCCTTTCTCCATTTACTGTAGTCGGTTTTGCATCTCATACATTATACATACTATTGTGACCATTTTACTTGATCCTCTCATAATTTGGAGGCTCTCTAAGACACTCCCAGAATCGCCAATCATTATGATGCGTGATTGAGTAGGAACATACGATGAGTGATGAATTTACTTACTGCAGATTGAAGCGACTTGAGGAAAGTAATGGGGAAGCAGGCGAGACGAAGGTCATGCTACAGAGTAGCGGGAATGAAAATGTTAACAATCGTTGCTCGACCACAAATCGAGGGAAAGTATTGTGGGTTAATGTTGAGAAAGATGCAGGCGGTGGTAAGAAACCGGTTGGCGGCGTGGTTGCGTTAGGCAGGGGATTGAAGTAGAGGATACCCTAAATATATCTCGGGTTTTGGCGAAGGCCGACCATACTAAGCCGGGATCCCGACTTGTTAAAGAGGAGCATTCCAATGATGGAAGAGATCATCTGAGAAGGATATTTCATGATTTTCGTGCATATTAATACGAGCATTCGAGGGCCAGACATTGAGTTTTAGGTGGTTTTGTAGTCGAGTGATGTCTGCAGGATTGAATAAGCATCCAAACACATCATTGGTATATGTCAGTAATTTAATAGTCAGTGGAGGGCTTGAGCAGTGTAAGGTAAGCTCTAGGAATGTGTGGTTTGCGAAAATAGAGAGAACAAGGGTTTCGAGAGTAAAGTTGAGAAGGACCGGAGAGAAGATCGCCATGTTTTTTTTTGTAATTGAAAGACAGTTGGTGTAGACAGATTAAAAGTTCAAAAAAAGGGCAAAAAAGAGCAAAACTTTAAATATAATTGGTCGATAGTTTTAATTAATTTTGCCCTTTTTTGAACTTTTAGTCTGTCCACACCAGCTATTTAATTGTCAACAACGAAAATAATAATTTTGATCAAATTGGCAAATTATATACCAAAAATCAGCTATATATCACAGTTCATAAAATATAACAGCCTCTATGACTATAAGCAACCTGGTTAGACACATTAAGATCCACACTATCAGCAGTTTAGGGCATTAATTGCTCAAATATCGACCAAAACATCCCACATTTTCACTCTATAAAATCTTGATCCACTGTAAATTGGGCTATTTGCACCAAAAAAGTCCATTTTCGATACCCACTTTTACTCACAGGGCAACTGAAAAAAAGTTTGGAAAATTTTCTTTTTCGTCTATTAAGTAAAGTTGTGTAAAACGTAAATATGGATCTTCCGATGCTTTTCAGAGAAGAAACAAGTGTGAATTCGTGGAGATATTTACTACTCTAAAAAAGACTTAATTTGTTAAGGAAGTATATAAAAAAGGCATATAATCTATCCACACCACACGGGTAAATGTATAACATCCATCGGAAATATTTGCTATCCGTTTTTTTTTTTGCATCTGCTCACAGATATTGACGTCCGAACCTAGTTGTTTTTATACATGCTATATACTTTTTTTTTGCTAATGGTTTGAGCACAATGTTTTGGTGGGGAGCTACCTTTGCTTTAATTGGGACTTTCTTATCGTATATTTAACTCATGTAAAGCGGAAGGTGGTTAAGCACACAGCAATTAAATCCGATCCCTAACTATCAGTAGTAACTTATAGAAGTCAAATTAGTAGTTAATTAATAACGTCCTGATTTATTCCCGTATAATATAGTTTCCAGCTAGATTTAATTAGCAAACCTATTATAATAATATTACTTTAACGTGCAATATATATATACAAGCTATACAAGCTATATACGTTGTAAACGTCGTGTCCCAAAATAGCTGTATAGTTCTGTGCCCGCATAATAACTTAAATCTCTCTGAATTACTAGAATCCTCTAAATATCCACAATCACTACAAAATTTTCGATAGAGTTCTTTTTTATCAACACAATAACATACAGCAGATTTGGATTGAATGAAAAAGGCTCTAAAGTCAAGATCTGATTTCCGAGGTTTCTTTGGTTCTTAATAGCTCATTATTCCTTGAGAATACTACAAAGATAAAACATTTAGAATCATGATACAAGAAAGTAAATGAAAGGGAGATATGACTTCACTTGTTTAGCTGAAGTAACAAAGAAATAGCAAAGGGATAGAAAAATTTGAAAAGGAAAGATATATATATAGAATGAATCACCATTAAACCAAAATTCTACTTTAAAATACACATCTACCTACACACCCTCAAGACCCTTAAGCATTTTCTTATAAAAAAAATTCTACTGAAGCCACCCACCTTTTTGTTCACAGTACTATAAGCAGAAATGTAATTGTTCATAAACCCTTTACAGAGCGTCTGAGCATATTCAATGTCGTACTCCCCAATCTCCCATGCAAGAGATCTATTTATTTTGTCTGTCTCGTCCAAGCATATATGATATTTGTTTTTAGCACATCGGTTGTTTTTGGTTATTCAAGTCCAATTGACTAACGTTGCCATTAATATAATTTTAAGTATAAGTATGTTCAACTGGGAGTGTGGTATGTTGATAAAAATTTTTCCGCTTTTCATCGACTTAGATCCATCAAACTTGACGTATTATAGTCCCAAGAATAAAAGTTGGTTAAAGCAAAATATATATATATATGCTTTTAAAGACCTGTGTGTCTATCCCGACATTAATAAGCTCCAGTATTTGTAGTAGATGTGGGTTGTGACTGTAATTTGACTGCTAGGAGAGGTACAAGTTGGCTGAATTCATGTTTAATCATCTTATTGAGATTGGCATTATTCTAAATAAATACACATCATTAAGACAAGGGGTTTTTGATGTGCAGCTCAGCTAGGCACAAAGAGAAACATACTATGTTAGAAACTGGCTCTCTACTAGCTAAGTGAATCAAACCTACCCATAGAAGTCTCAATAATTCAGAGATAAAGCTAAGCTAGCTGTTGAAGCGAATCAGCAAGTATGTATCACAGCAGTTAAGGGTAACCTTAGCCCTTTCTACTTTTGTGCCAAAATCTTAAAGAGTGTCGTAAAATAAAAAAGGCTTATATTCATCGAAAGATCCCACAAATATGATTGTCTTTTCTAGACGATGAAAGAATTGGTTTAGAATTGATCCTAATACAATGCCTTTTCGATAATGTCTTTTATCACAAGTTATTTTACGTTCTGGAACTTTTTTCATAAGGTCTTTCAAATTTAATACCGATTAGATTTGGGTATTTGAGCACGGAGCAAAAGATCCAGAAATCGTCAACGGAATCCTTATTATACAGAGTTTTGCATTCAAAAATGAGAAAACCAAATCAATTTTCTGAGGTAGACACAGGTTTAATTTGAAAAGGCTTACATTTTTAAAAAAAATTGATGTTTTTATCAGCCTAACCTTCACAAATTGTCTCAAAAAGATTGCTTACTACAAATACTAATACATTATACAGCTTGATCAGTAGTGAGACCTGGTTTTCTTTTAACCAAATCTTTTCTTTATAAAACAGTTCCCAAAGGGGGTTTAAGAATTAGCCATATAGAAAAAGGGTATTACATATGTGCTTTGTGTGGGTGGGTAAGTAATAGCTTAAAAGCTTGCTTGTATGTATGGAAACATTGTCCATAATAAAGTAATAAGAAATGAAATTATCTCTAACTAAACTCGCTGGGATTTGCTTGGAAAATTGAAGGAATAGCTGTGCGTCTGTATCGTCTACAACCATTTTCGCCGTAACGTCTTTGACACCTTGATAGAATACGACTAGCATAATTGAAATATTTGATGCTTATTCGGTTTTATTTAATTACCCTCTCACACTAATTAAGCTGGTATTTGATGAAGATTTATTAACGAAAAGACAACATGTTTCATAAGATATTCAATGTTGCTGGAGTATGCTAACAAATTTTGATATACTTTGGATAAAATCTGATGTGTTTTTTTTTCTTTTCTTTGACAGGCCTTGTTTTTTTTGTGGTGCGAATCCAACTTTTGCATATATATATATATATATATCTGTATGTGTTTATTAATGTGCAGAGATAAAGAGGTTTACACCCTTAAGAGCAAGAAACTGCTCTAACAACTTGTCCTTGGTGATCCCAATGGTTACCTGACATTCTCCATAAAAAGCATCCCGGATAAACTCGACATGTTCTTCTCTGAGCTATATATATTTCAATAAGTAGCTATAAGAAATATATTACTTATATAGTATTTACTGTGTGCACATTATAGTTTTATTTTTGGTTATAGATAACATATAAACACTATCATTATGTTGTTATTTGAGAATTGCGGACTAGATTTTTGAAAGATGAGCTTTTTCGAATTTAACCTGTAAACTACTTTAAGAAATTGGTTTGATTTTTTCACTTATGAGTTTAGAACTCTATATTATTAAAGAAAAAAATAGTAATAATTCATGTCACTTTTATGAATTATAGTTAATGGCATTATTTTCTAACAAGAAAAAAGCTATGGGAAAATTATTGGCTATTGGAAAATGAAATAAAGGGTTAATTTGTGCCTGACTTTTATATAATCTAGCACTCCTATAGTCATAGGGACAACTCTGGGAAACCCATTGAACCGATTGCTATATATTTACAACGACTCTTATGATATATGGTATGTAAGCCAATATAATATTACGTTCCCAATTCAATTTTCACTGTCAAGAGCTAAAGTCTTTAGATTAACAGTTTTTAATCAATAGAACCTTCAAGATCAGGAAGATGTCTAAAGTACTCCAGACCAAAAACAGTTCCAAGCCATTATGCCGCCTTTTCCTTACCTGGCGGCTCTAAGGGCTATACGTCTTTTTGCATATATCTCATTAACTCTTTTTTTTTGGTCTAGCAGTTCAGTTACATTTATCCCTATACTCCGTTATAGATATATTTTAACAAAAGCAAGGAAAGAGACAAAGGTAAAGACCGCCAACCATATTACTTTTAATAATATTTTTAAAGATTAATAGGTTTTTATTTTTAAAACAAAGAGACAAGAATATAAATATAATATCAAAGAAAAACAAGGGAAAATTTTATTGTTCAAAGTAAATGATTTTTGTGTACAAAGATTTTTACAAATTAAATACAAATTAAATTAAATTAAATAGAATATAAGATAGTCAAGTCCATGATAGTCCAGTCCAGCCCAGTCCAGTCCGTTTTTTTTTAAGAAATATTTCATTCGCTTTGCAAGTATATATGTAAAGAGGATTTTGCAGCTTATTGTAATAGAGAGTCTTGGTCCAATCCGGAGCGTCGCCTCGATCCAGAGCCAGGTTCCAATGCAGTGTTCCTTCAGTTTTGATTTGATTTGATTTGATTTGATTTGATTTGATTTGATTTGATTTGATTTGATTTGATTTGATTTGATTTGATTTGATTTGATTTGATTTGATTTGATTTGATTTGATTTGATTTGAGTTGATTTGATTTGAGTTGTAAATGTGAGGTAGGCACCACAATTGAGTGAAGAACAGACTCCACTATCAAACACTGGTTCCTTCTTGCGAATAAATCTGACAAATTAACCATCTCCGGAACTATTACATACCAGGCACACGTACAATACCCACTTATACAATGTACTAACCATCATACAACAAGGATAAGAATTAAAAAAGATTTGAATAGTCAAATATAAACAATATTACCTTGTCTCTCTAATAAATAACACTCTCAAAGTATCTCAATATTTTGAAGAGTAGATACTTTGAGAGTGTTACTTATTAGAGAGACAAAGTAATATTGTTCATATCTGTTACCATTCAAACCCCTTGGAAGTCAGATCCCTGTTGTATAATGGTTGGTTTCCACGGTATAAATGTGTAGTGTACGTGTGCCTGGTATGTAATAGTTCCGGAGATGGCTAACGTGCCAGGTTCATAAGCAAGATGGAACCAGTGGCTGGTAGTGGAGTCTGTTCTTCACTCTATTGTAGTGTGCGTGCCACAGCCAACAGGACTTAGGATGATGCCTGAGATTTGAATTTGCCATTGGAAGAAATAATTTTTGTTTGGAACTTGCATTGGACCCCTGCTTGGAAATTGGCTTGGCCTTGAGATTTGGAAGTATAACCCAGATTTTGGACTTGATAGAAATTATGCTTGTATGTATGTATGTTCTAAAACTAGTACTCTAGCAGTACGTGGACATTGTTTGACCATTTGGAAAGGAATTGGACTTGGACATGGACTTGGACATGGACATAGAAATGGATCTTGACTTGACTATTTTGGATATTGTGCTAGTATATATAACTTTTGATTTGGTAAAGATAATTGTGAGTATAATTTTTGTTTTGAATTTTTTCCCTTGTTTTTCATTTTTTTTTGACTAGATATTTTGATTTGATTTTGGACTTTGTCCCTGATCTTGACCACATCTTGGGACTGTACTGTTGGCCGGTTTGACCCTTTCTCTGGCGCCCCTTGTTGGGCTTCTGGTGAGCCGGATTGGCTTTTGACCTGGCGCGCATCTTGGGCCTGTGCTGTTGACCGGTTTGGCCTTTTCTCTGGCGCCCCTTGTTGGGCTTCTGGTGAGCCGGATTGGCTTTTGACCTGGCGAGCATCTTGGGCCTGTGCTGTTGGCCGGTTTGGCCCTTTCTCTGGCGACCCTTGTTGGGCTTCTGGTGAGCCGGATTGGCCTCTGACCTGGCACGCATCTTGGGCCTGTGCTGTTGGCCGGTTTGGCCTTTTCTCTTGCGCCCCTTGTTGGGCTTCTGGTGAGCCGTATCGGCTTTTGACGACGTGCCCAAAAGGCATGAGATAGCCAACAATCTTGTGGCAGGAATGGAACCATTTTGTTCCGCCACAGAGGCAAATTGATTGTTGATGGAAGCAACAGGAAGCAACAGACCCGCCAGTGGGATAAATGGCTCCTACCAGTGATATAAATGGACCCGCCAGTGGAAATAATGAATTGGCCAGAAAAATAAATGGAGCCAACAATGGAAGAAAAATAGGCAGTTGGCCGTAATATAAAAAGGCCTATCTGCGGAAGATAATAGGTCCACTGGCGAGAGATAACAGGTCCACTGGTAGGAGGAAAGGGCCTACCAGTGGGAAGCAACAAACCCACTGGCAGAAAGACCCCACTGGCGGAAGCAACAGACTAACAAAAAAGCAACAAGCAACAGTACCTTTGAAATAACATAAACCGCCGTGGAAGGCATAATAAAGCAACAAGCAACGGGAGGTAACAAGCAACGGGAACTAACCAAAAAGATACCAGCCGCGCCCACCAGAAGAGAGGACAGAAAGCAACCAGTAATACATGGGAATACGGACAACGGGCTCACACGCTACACGCGCGCTTTGGGACTTGCTCGATAGACCATGGTTGACCCGTGGCTACTACTCCATCGGGTCCTTTTGGAAGAAAGAAAGAAAAAGAGAGAGCGGTCGGTCGCAAGAGTCCAAAATCGGTTCAACAAGCTCAACAAAATAATATTGCCAAGTCTTTATGAACGTCTTTTGAACTCTTACAGTCGCCAACTCCACAGGCTATGATTAATTAGTATTCAAAGTTTCATTGCGCGTAGAATGTAAATACATATACTTATCTTAAAATACCTGGACTACCCATTCATGACAAGAAAGAAACTCATGGCTATCGGAAGACCATCTTGGCTTCTGTGTATTAACGATGACCGGCCGGACACAAACCCATGTATTACCAGAAGCCTTCTATCGACCCCTTCAGCAGACGCGGCTAGTACAAAGAAAAAGGAAAAAAAGGAAAACCAAAGTTTGCAAAAATTGCTCTATACTTATAGAAAAAAAGACAGGGAGATATTGAGACTGCTCTAGATTTGGTCTAACAAAATCTATTGAAAATGCTTATCAATGGCATGTTGTGCCAAGAATGAATGCACGCTGCATAGTGCTGATCAAGTTGGACATCTATTTTTGTGAGTCTACACATATTCTTCAAGGAAAAGACCTGATTATAACTGTATACACACAAGTTGAAAAAACAAAAACATATAAATTCTTTTAAAACATAACACTGGCCTTGCTTTTCCAACCCTCAAACTGGAGCTCATACTCTTGCTATATGTAGTGCTATGCTATAGTATTTTATAAAAGTATTCACCGTTTAATAAAGGCCAGGCCTTAGAAGATTGATAGATAAAGCAAAGCTGTTGTGATGTACATAATAGAGGGGGGGTTATGCAGACAATCAAAATAAATACATACTAGGCAACTAAAGAAAAAAATACAAATTTATGCATGCATATATTACAAGTTTCATAAATATATTTCTCACTCTCTTTGCTTCCTTTCAAAGATTATCAAATTACTCATAAAGCTACTGAATCAGACACATTAAGGCAAGAGGTATTTGGTAAAGAATATAAAATTGTACAAAATATAAAAGAAATAGCTGTAGTTATCAAAAGAAATAATTTGAAGCATCTTGATAATGTGCTTCTGCTGATCAAAAAAAAAGAAAAAGAAAAAGGAAATCCAAGAATACGCCTTGTAATTTGATCACCTGCATGTGAATTGATAAGCCCATTTATAAATAATATCTTTCTCTGAATTTTTTTTTTAAAATAAATTGTCGTGTATCTATAAACAAATTCTTTGATAGTTTATCTAGCAAAAATTGTAATAATACACACATTTATATATATATATTTGTATCTATATGGAGCTCACACAATTCTCTTATAATCACACTTGTAGAATATGACCTATAGCTTATGGCTCATAAAATAGAATAAAATAAAATCTCAAAGCTAGTGCTTTAATATTGGGGTTCTTTTGCAAATACAAGGCCAAGTGGGTATACATATAAGAATTACAATCCTTTATATAATATAAATTAATGACTTGATATACATTATGTGCTAAAGTGTTTTATAATTGTATTTTTAATTTTATTGAGATTATCAGCACATATAATACGCAGTATTTACCAGGATATATTTTCAGTTACATTTTTCAAGTCAATCTGCCGTAACCTCTTGTATCATAACAATGGGTTTATATTTCTAAAATTTGGTAGGACTGGCAAAAGAAGACATTTCTGTTGATTCTCGTATATTGATTAGACTTTATATATGTAACTGTCTGTTTCAAGATAACCAAGACTGCAATTTGGTAAGCTATATCTAAAGGTCATAAAGGTAGATGCTATAACTTTTCATGGGCTTGACACAGCTTGATATGATAGTATTTCCTTAAAGAATATATATATTTTTTAATGATTTCTGAGGTGTATTTATCAGGATTGTAAGCTCCTTATTAGATCTGCACTATTATGCACCTGTACAAATCGGGTTGATTGAGTATAAAATAAAAATATCAAAACCGATTTACATCGGTGCACATCAAAGAGTAATTCTGAAAATATGCATACAAGTAGTATCATTACTTACGAACATTCTTTAAGCTAAAAGAGTGTTTGACTATCTAACGCTCACTTGCTCTTTATCTATATACTTTATTCAAAGCAAGAAAACTGTATTTAATATATCAAATATATAGCATTATTATTACTATTTCTTTGAAAACATTTTAACCATTGGGCTGGTCAAGAGAGATATACTGAGGTTCATAGAATTGAAGCATAAATCCAGATGACATGATAGTTCTTTCTATTTATTTACTTTATAATTTATGGACATCGTTTTTCAATTTATGCAAATAGATAGTCTTTTTGCATAACAATATATACTAGAAATAATCACAATCATATGAAATCTTCACAAATACTAATTTTTTGTAAACAAGGCATATATCTATTCTGTAGAATAAATAGAGACTTCTAGCCAAATACTTTTATCAAAAGGTAGATACTATATATAATCTTTAGCTTAACAGAAAAGAATATTTAATACAATCAATATAATATAAAGCCTTCTTTTTTCTCTGAAGAGGTCTTTCTCAAAGAAAGTGTATGTTTGAGATAAAATAAATACTAAATCGTGCCATTAAGTACGCAAAGATTATCAAATTCTTGTAAACCAAATACAGATAAATAGAATTTGGCTTATCATGTATTCCTTATTTTCTAAAGAGAAAATCCCTTTTCGCAGAAAAACATTATAATATATTTTATGTGCTGTTTTATGCCCTTTTACTTTCAAACATACAAGAGTATGATTAAGAGAAGTTCACAATGATTTGAATATGTTCTTTCCAGACAGTAAGCTCTTTAATATATATAATGTGTAAAAAGAAAATAATAATATCAATTTTTGTTAAAGGAATATGTCACTTTGTTTTGAAAATCTTTATGGCTTATCAAAGAGATAAAAAATAAACTAAAAACCATATGAATGCACTCCTTAGTTTCCGTGTAGATATCAATATATTGATTGGAATGCTTACGTGGAATTCTTGTCTGATAAGAAAAATAAAACTATAAAAGAAAGAGAAATCTCTTCGCGCTTGATTTTCTCCTTGTACCCATTTTTCATCGCTTGTTTTATACAATGCCACGCTTCACAGCTCTCACCAACCTTTCCTTTGCCGCTCCCAAGCGTGCTAAAGCCTGCCGTTACCAACCGTACCCTGCCCAGTCCGTCCGTTGCGCTCTTCGTGCGAGTGCAAAGAGCCCTCTTGGGGCGATTGGTGTCTCTTCCACTGGTGGGTTTGTTGGGACCCAAGTGACCTCTCCTGAGGTGTTTGGTGGGTCGGGTGAGACCCAAGGTAATTATTTCATACACTCTTTCAGGAAATTATTTGTGCAGAGATAAAAATCGTTTTGATGCACTAATAGTTTCTGGAAAAAGTGTATTTTATTTAATTTAATTTTGCACATCTCTAATGTTTTTCTTTTATATTATACTATTCCATAGCTGTTCCTAGAGGAACAAAGCGTCCTTGTCCGGAGGACTTCACCTCCACGGCCCATATGGCCAAGCGCCTGGAGGTGGTAACCATTCGGGCGTTAAGAAGACCCGCTGGGAGGGGACCTCGTGGATTCCTGTTGTCCACGAGCCCTGCCCGACGGGTGGCTCTTAAGAGGAGCCTGAGATTGATCAGGCACGTAGTCTTTGAACTACAAATAAGAGGAGTGATCAGTATGACGGGTCAGATCAATGACCCTTTGCCCTCACACTGCAATATGCCTACCACGTCTGTTCTTGCTCCTGTCCCTGTCCCTGCTCCAGTGTCTGCTTCTGCTTCTGCTTCTGCTCCTGCTCCTGCTTCTGTCACCCCTCCCGTTCGTTCTCTCACCCGCTCCTCCTCCCGAATTGTTACCAGTTCTTCATCTGGATTCTTCTCTCCCTCGCCATCTCCATCACCTTCTCCATCACCTCCGTCATCTCGCTCTCCATCACCTGAGCCAAACTCATCTCGCTCTCCTTCGCCTGAGCCGGAAACATCTCTCTCTTTGTTTCAAAAAATGTCATCATCAGAGACATCAGAATCATTAGAAACATCAGAACCATCATCAGCAATTACTCCTGGTAGCACATACACCAAGGTGATGAACATTGCTGCAGATACAACACAAACTATTACGTCTAGTGTTGTATCTGTAGTAGGCGCTATTAAAAAGTTCTTCTCTTGGGAGTAAGACAAGATATAACCATAAAAAATGTTTTAATGCTCATCAAAAACAACAGGAAGCAACAGATACTAATAAGCAACAGATACTAACAAGCAACAGCTACTAACAAGCAACGGGAACTAACCATACTAACATAAACATTAACCACTAAACCAAAACATTAACTACTCAAATTAAAAAACAAAACAAAAGACTACTAAACCTAACAATTAGCAAAGACAAAGTCAAAGCTAAAGTCAAGGTCAAATCCAAAGTCATGGCAAAATCCAAATCTGAAATTGAAACTGAAAAGGGAACCAGAAAAAGAGAGGATGGGGAAAAGTCAAAAGGAAATTAAAATTAAAATTATTATAAATATATAGTCTCCAAAACTTGTACTATTATCATTAGTAATATTATCATTATTACCATTAGTATTATCATTAATATCATTACTAGTATTATCATTAGTCTTATCATTATTCTCATTACCATTATTATCATTAGTACTATCATTAATATCATTACCAGTATTACCATTAGTCTTATCATTATTCTCATTACCATTATTACCATTAGTCTTATCATTAATATCATTACCAGTATTATCATTAATATCATTGTCATTGTCATTATCATTATCATTAGTATAGGGCTACATAGTTTCTGTGTAGCGCATAGACAGAGAATTCACTATGTATTAAAAGGTTTATTAAGCAACACATACACCTTTAGTGGTCAAAAGGTGTTTCGATCTCAGGTAAGTTATAAAATTAAGAAAAAAAGAAATTATCAGTGTCGTCTTCTTGTTAATCGATCTCAGCATAAAATACCGTCTACGTCAGGAACCAGTCATTCTCCTTTATAATAAAAGCTAATGAGATTAAAGACAGATTGTAAAAATTTACTTTTTTTTTCATTTTGCAAAAGATAGTCTGACCACACTTCTCGTATCAAGTCCTAACCAACACCCAAAAAACAACAACAAATGAACAAACAAAAGAAAGAAAGAATAAAAATACACCAGATACACAAATGAGAGACATCTTTTGTAGATTGAATAAAAGACTCCATGTATTTCCTATTAGAATCTGAGATTGGGATTAAAGGAAACAATGATTACAGTTTGTAAATTGTCAGCAATCAACTCTCTCAAGTATTTCGCATCGGTTTCTATTTTACAGTCCTCAAGCTAATTTTGACAACACACACGCATACGCACACGCAAAAAAAAGCTTACTACAATGACCCAAAGCTCATGTTAATTGGACAAATGGAGAATGAAGAACCACAATTGGGTCTGATGGATCAAGATGAAAATTCACAACTTGTCAAAAAAGTCGGCAAGACATATGAACAAAGGTATATAGCTCTAAAAATAAAGTCAAAGAAACGATATTGTTATACGTTCGAGTTGTCTTTGAACTGAAAAAGTTTTTACCGGCTATTTCCTAGGACCTTTGGTTTTTATTAAAGGTGCTGTGAATCAAGGCGAATATGTTAATACTTTGACACAGAATCTCATTCCTTGAATTATATCCTTTAAAAAATATCATTATAGGAGGTTCATATTTCAAGAAGATTGTTCTACCTATCATATAGAACCAGACACAAAAGTGGCAAAAAGACGACTATGTGACCAAGCCTTTTTAATTAACTGCTCTTCCCAAGGTCTAGGGAAGAACCCCATTGAGCATAAATATTTAGAGGTACGATATATTGAAATTGGAAGGTTTATTTTAAAAGGGCCAATTATGGGTTAATAATCAAAAAGAGTAACAATACATATACAGCTATTTATCGATTTCTCATTATTTTATAAAAGCCACTAATGTCATGAAATAATCTAGAGAGAAAAGTATTTAATGACCTTGTCACATATTGAAAGCACTTCAATGGCGATCAAACGAGTAATAACAGCTTTCAGCGCTCATTTTACAGGATATCACTCATGCTCCTTGTGGTACAATATTAGGGGTTAGCATAGGTGGGGTTTTACATGGCCTTGTTTTGTAAGTATTTGGTTTTGCTTGGTTTTTGGATATTATCCTACGGTACGAAGATTGGATCTGATTGACAGGAACAAGGAAAGCTGGCTATGCTTGTGATATGGTAAAGTGTATTGGATAATAGACTAGTGGAGTGTATATTGTCCGATAAGTTAGGATGAGGCTTTTGATATCAAATAATACTAGGAAAATCAAAGGGTTTTGTAGTGAAAGGTGAACGGTGTAAAAGTACCCGCACCATAAATATACTCAAGTTTGTCAAGGACTTGTGGATCATTTGATATTTTTATTTCTTTTTCTAAATAGAGGGAATTAGATCTTTTATATTATCAGGGGGAAGCATTGACTGAGACAAGTGCATGAGTCTGTTTTTAAAGTGTCTTGAATCCTTTGGTATTGGTAAGCAAAACGTCATGAACATATTATATTCAGTATAAGAGAAATGTGTATTATATTACACCAGTGCTTACACTACTTGGTACTGGAAAGAGATAACATATAATGGACTGTTGTGACATTTTTGGTGTATACAGGGTTTGTATTTCCATCCTATAGAGCATTACGGGGATTATGATGCTCTTGAAATAAATCAAAATCTGGGAATCGTAAAAGAGATTTATATGAGAGCTCAAAGTGTTGATCTACAAGGTATGGTTGAATTATCTCAAAGTCCTTTTTAGAGAGAAGTTGTCTTTGGTAAGTGCGTGAAATATAGTGCATATAATATAATTAATAGATTAATGTAGTTATAAGAAACTTTAAACCAATATACTTCTCTTCAAAAAGATTAGCTTTATTATATATGGCTACAAGAAAAATAGGATGAATAAAAAGCTTTTAAAAAAAAAGAATTCTGCCTAGACATTTACCAAAATTGGGTTTGTGTGTAAAAGAGTGTTTATTGCTCTTTAATATATTTGATAATGCAGATGAGACGAGCTGTGCTAGTTTATGTAAAGAAGTGGCCCAGACGGCTAACAGAAAAAAAAGAATATATATCGATCTTCTCTAACAGCTTATTAGCTCAAATATTGGCAATTGACCGTTTTTCGTTTTGAAAAAAGAAAAAAGAAAATATAAGTGATGTTTAAGGATGGTCTTTATTGCTTTCATCTTTCGATGTTTGTATAAATATTTTGATAATTAATAAAATATTATTTTCGGTAAGATATTACTAAGCTATTGCTAAGATGTCAGAATAAACTATGCTTCTTTGGATAATTAATAATAGATAAGAGAAAGAAATAGAAATATATTATATGCTTTGGTCAGTCAAAAATGTGAATATACACGCAATGTGTCAACTTTATAGAGCTACTCTCACTCACACAACCGACTCCATTACTTTCTCTTTATAAACACAAAAAAAATAACTATCCAGTATACACCAGTAGCACCTTCAGCTAGATGTTTCGATTCTTCTACCTATCAACTTTGGAACGACCCCCATGCACTCTTTCTTCAATTGGCTCAGATAAAATCGTTCAATACTGTGCTCCATCAGAGAGTATGGATCAAATAAGAAACTTATTTTACTTGGCTGCCTTTAAGTAAAACTACTCACGCATAATAGCTACACAAGCCAATGCCTATTCCTTTGTGCTTCCAAATTAAATTGATCCTTGGCTGCGGTTGTCTTTTTCCTTCTCTTACTTTTTTTATTATCTTTTCCATTCTTTTTGCATTAGCATTCGCAATTATCTGTACGCATGAAGTTTAAGCAACAAAAACTCGGCCATAATAATCTAATTCGATGGAAATTACGGCTATGCCTGTTCTTTTACGGTTACGTCTGGTACTATATGCAATATATTATATATATTTACTTTTTAGATATTAAAAGAGTGTCTAATTGTATTTTGTAAATCAAGAATTTTAGCTTATCTATGCTTATTATATCATCTTTTTTTCTTTCTTTTTTCATATTAAATTTCTCATTTTTAATATGGTATATGAGAAATACAAGTAGAAAGTCCTTCAATATTGTTTAAATCTGGTATCTGCGTACACTGTTCATATTATGACTGCTCACAGGATTTTACCCTTTTATCTTACTAGAACCTATAGATGCTATCAATACAAATTGCTCGCTTATCTTTGAAAAAGTCCATTTTTCTGATATGTAGTTTATTATTATAATTGAATAATAAAGGTACTTGCCATTCAACTAACCAGCAAAATTGGCTTGGCCAAAGTCTCCTATGAATGTTCCAAAGACTCAAGTCCACGTATTTACTAGACAAAAGAAAACAGTACTTAGATTCGAACATATTTTTTAGTGGTAAATAAAATAATATATATTTATTTGTGTAAAATACAGTTAGTAATACTAGCTATAGCAAATACAAGTACAAGATTTATAAACAATTTACATTGTCACAAAGAGAAGAATTATTGTTACATAAATATTATTCGGCTATACATACAATGTCTTTTCTTTTTCTATTAAAAAAAGAACAAAATATAACCATTTGTCTTTTATACCTGAGCAGAATAAAAACTACTTGTATACCTACTTGGCCTTGTATTTGCAAAAGAACCCCAATATTAAAGCACTAGCTTTGAGATTTTATTTTATTCTATTTTATGAGCCATAAGCTATAGGTCATATTCTACAAGTGTGATTATAAGAGAATTGTGTGAGCTACATATAGATACAAAGATATATATAAATGTGTGTATTATTACAATTTTTTGCTAGATAAACTATCAAAGAATTTGTTTATAGATACACGACAATTTATTTTAAAAAAAATTCAGAGAAAGATATTATTTATAAATGGGCTTATCAATTCACATGCAGGTGATCAAATTACAAGGCGTATTCTTGGATTTCCTTTTTCTTTTTCTTTTTTTTTTGATCAGCAGAAGCACATTATCAAGATGCTTCAAATTATTTCTTTTGATAACTACAGCTATTTCTTTTATATTTTGTACAATTTTATATTCTTTACCAAATACTTCTTGTCTTAATGTGTCTGATTCAGTAGCTTTATGAGTAATTTGATAATCTTTGAAAGGAAGCAAAGAGAGTGAGAAATATATTTATGAAACTTGTAATATATGCATGCATAAATTTGTATTTTTTTCTTTAGTTGCCTAGTATGTATTTATTTTGATTGTCTGCATAACCCCCCCTCTATTATGTACATCACAACAGCTTTGCTTTATCTATCAATCTTCTAAGGCCTGGCCTTTATTAAACGGTGAATACTTTTATAAAATACTATAGCATAGCACTACATATAGCAAGAGTATGAGCTCCAGTTTGAGGGTTGGAAAAGCAAGGCCAGTGTTATGTTTTAAAAGAATTTATATGTTTTTGTTTTTTCAACTTGTGTGTATACAGTTATAATCAGGTCTTTTCCTTGAAGAATATGTGTAGACTCACAAAAATAGATGTCCAACTTGATCAGCACTATGCAGCGTGCATTCATTCTTGGCACAACATGCCATTGATAAGCATTTTCAATAGATTTTGTTAGACCAAATCTAGAGCAGTCTCAATATCTCCCTGTCTTTTTTTCTATAAGTATAGAGCAATTTTTGCAAACTTTGGTTTTCCTTTTTTTCCTTTTTCTTTGT